GGCTTGAGGCCTGGGAGGGGTTAATTTGCGAGTCTTTGTTCGATCTAGTGGAGGCCTAGGCGAGTTTATTACGGTAAATATCCTAAGAGATCGTATATTATATCTGTCACGGCACCCTTACCCTTTATCCCGCGTCCCCTAACCCTTTTAACGTGATAAATGTATACTGTGGGGTCCTACGAGGGTGCCGACGTCTCGATGCAATTTCCAAGATAAATATTCCCATCCTAAATGCTGTGGCCTGGTAATTTACTTTTTCACTTGATTTCATATTAAACGAGGTTAGCTAAGACAAATGTGGCATAATATTTTTTTTGCTGTCCATTAAATACGTCGTGGTGTCGCATTTATCACCCATTCCTTTCGAGAATTATTCACGCGCCTTAATATCCCACTCACGAGTATTTCAAGTAGCTCGCGGAAATTATTTGTTCGAATATTTTCGCGTAATGTTCACGCGCGGGCTACAGCTATGTATGTCGGTACGGAAGATCGCTGCGAGTTCGGTCGAGATATTGCGCGTCCGCTATTTCTTTTCTCGACATTCTGCCACTGCGATTTTCAATTTTACTCGTTTTACAATATACGTCCGTAAAATAATTATTCAAATTCTGTTACATTTTTCCTAATATAATAGAAAAAAATAAAAATGAAAAGTCAACTCTTACTTATAGTCCAGAAATTAATTTTTCCTTTTTATGTAAATATTCCAGTCGTTCACTACTTAAAGACAAAAACTGGCTCGTTTTTTTATTATCATATCGCGATAATCGCATAAATGGAGAAATGGGGTGAAGTAAGCTAAGGATGAAAATAAGTACGAGCTCGATATCTGTTTTTAAAGTACACGGATTATGCAAGATGAGAACCGCGAAAGGAAGCAGAGAAGTTGATGTCCCCTTCACGGGGACAGGCAGTTAATTAACGCTTTAATGGTGACGCGACGCGCATGCTATATTAAACGAGCCACGTGTTCTTGCAGCGATTAAAGTATTACCATTAACACGTTTAACTTTTGCTATCTTTATGGTTACGGTGATCCCTTTGGCGACGGAAGGCTGATTTTCAAAACTGTCGCCAGGGGTCCCGCCGGAGTGTCCAACGGTAAATGAACGCGTTAATTACAACAGAAATCGACGAGATCTTTGACACGGTGTTCAACCAAAGTAATATGAAAAGTCGAGAAATTCAAAAGGGGGTGTATTAAAGCGTCCAAGTCGATTACACTTTCCTTCGCGTTTTATGTAGCAGATTATATTTTTATATATTAATCCAGTCGAAATTTAATTCAGTTTAGAAAATTAAAATCGAAACTTTAATTATAGTACTGCATACGAACAAATTAATAACGAGAAAGTAAGTCACTTGAATGACGTGTGAAACCGTAGACGAACATTTGATACGTAGGGAGGTTCGATGATCGAATTTGAGGTTATGTATGCGTTGCGCGCGCACGTGCATTGCAACGCCATCCTACGGTTGGTCGTAATTTTTGTCGTTGCATGTTTGATTAATTCCTCTGGGCCAGCGATATTTTCTCTCTTAAATCCGGCCGTACACCGTGACATAACGGTCAGAAACGAGGGATACTTTATAGGCATTTCAAAACGGCGGTTAATCCACGGGGCTGTCGCGAGCATGGAGCGAGGAAATATTTCTGGCGAGTTTTAGGTGGCCGATTTCGTGCAAGAACTGGGCGAACGAAAAATAGCGGAACATCGAAACCACGGCGTAGGAAGCTAAGCTGGCAGAAAAAGAGGTTTAAAAAAATTCTTCTCGCAATTTTTTTGCGGAAATTGCTAAACGTCACCTCCCCGTTATTTCCATGCTACGGTCTCGGATAATGTGTGGCTTTCTCGGCGAATTGGCCTCATTAATGGGGGATCCGCTTTCAACTTTGGTAACTTTTCCAAAAAGACACCAACTTGCATTGCAGTACATGTCTATTTGTATTTATGTGATCTAGATAGAAGTTACAAGAAAGTTGTTATTTAAGTTTAATTAAAAATTTTAATTCCGAGCACTGTGATTTGGTGAGGAAGATGATACTTAAAATTTTGAATCTCGAAATTTTCATGAAAAAGTCAAAGTATCAAAAAGTTGTGATCTTGATTAACAAATATAATTGGTGCATTTATCTTTTTTTTTCTTCAAATAAAATTAAATAATAGTGTTAAATATCTGTAATATATATTAATATATATTATGTACAATATTAGTATAGCCAATAAATAGTGCAGGATATTTGCAGTAGATGGTGCCACTTTTTTAGTACAAAACACTAATTGCAATTATTTATTATAGTTCAAAATAGTTAATATATTATTTAATAAAATTCTTTTTGTTTTAAAGAAAATGGCAACCATCTTAAATTTTTAAGATATATCTCTGAAAACATATAACGTAATATCTAAAACTCCTTTAGGCATCTATTCAATATTCGTATTGACCGCCATCTCGTAACTAAAAACTAAAGTCACTTTCCTCACTAGACACATTATACACCGTGACATAACGATACTCCATAATCGAAATTACATCATTACCGTTCAGAAATTCTCCGTATAAAAATTCATTTGTAATAATCGTTGTAAATCTTCACAAAAATAACTCCTTCGTCGAAATATAATTTATTTAGAATATACCGTATAAAATATCATCACTAGTTTTAAAGTGGTGAACATACAGGAAGGTCCGGCCGATCTTTCGAGATGGTCATTTCCGGTGAAACGCATTCATCCGATTTTATGACACGTTGTGAGTGTCCATACACGCAGTTAGCCGCACTCGCGCGAACGGGATCGTATTTGCCGCAGTGCAGGAACACCGGGAACAGGATGGTTATGCGCCAGCCGTTCCACGGTGTACTTTCGTGCCACTCGGGTTCGCGAGGACCATTCGGTTATTCATGCGTTCCGGGCCGATCGCTGGCGTGCGTTGCTTCGTCCGAATTACGCGTATAAATTGCGTGGCTCACGAGCCCTGCAAACGAATACCCGATTACTCTTGTAATTGACTTTTTCCCTCTTCACGAGCCTCTATTTGTCCTTGCGACGATGGCACTTGCACGATCGATGGGACGGTATTAATTATAGGAAGAACGTTAGTCACCTACCGAATATTCTCGACGGAATATTATCGTCTCGCGATGCTGAGATGCTTGGCGTGCCTGCTTTTCCAGGGAATTACACGTGTAACGACATCGAGGTTATTATGGAAGGTGGTGGACGTTAATAAATCTACCCCGAGCCTGGTTTCGATTTTTAAACGCCACGCGAGGCTATGGCGACGGACCCAATATATGGCGATGCGGGCGCCCTCTGTCTTGATATATTATTTAATCGCTTGTATTATCATTATTCCGATTTTGTATAATGTACAAGTAATTTAACTGAATTTGATTATTGGTGATGTAGTATCAGGTAGAATGTTATAGTTACGTCAGGGTAGTAGAATTAAATAATGATCAGTATATTTATACAGGGTGTTCCAGTGATAGTAGTACAATCGTAGGATTCTACGTGAAAAGGCAAGTTGAAAATGTAGAATACAGTTTTTTCATTTGAAGCTTCGTTGTCGAGGAAATCGACTTTGAATACCCCCCTTCCCGGTTGTACTACCGTTGCTGGGACACCCTGTATATTATTAAATATATTTATTTTTTTTTATAAAAGGATAATTTGCAACAAAGGTATATGCATTTCAACTTGTGTAACCATATTGAATACTGATGATTTAAAATGTTTAATTACAATACTAAGCTATAGTTGGTCTCTTAATTGTTGGTAAAGCAGGAATAGACATTGCCATTTCGAACGTAAAAATATTTGGATATAAATTACAAGCATATTTTAAATTGTTTCAAAAACGGTTAAAAAATGTATGCACTTTTATTCGTTCCTGCCTTTCTAAAAATAGCCCCTGAGCCTGGCCTTGACACGAGGTGCCATTATTTGATACAATTTTTTTCCGAGTTCGGTTTGATACATACGTACTTTGGTATATAGGTTGGCAGAGAAGTTGGCTAAAATATTGACGCATATCTCACAGGGTTTTGGAATTTTTCCGCGGCATACCGAAAGCCTTTCCTTTTGTGACAGCCGAATATTTTCGATTTTAAAGCTTCGCCATGGCGCTGCAAAATGCAGGCTTCAATTTTTCGGAGCGACTTTATCGATTCGAAGGCCTGTGAATATTTTCCTACACGATAGAATTGCCTGGTAACAATGTTATTAAAGTATAGCCGCCTGTACACGTACATGACCGTAAGTACATTATCACCCACTACTTCCCTTTGGCGCGGTGTAATTTTAATAAATGCGACTAGCGGCCGAGCGGGAAAATTATTTTTCACGGGTCCAAAGGTTGCGCGGTACCGGTTACCTCGCATAATTACAGACGGCCATAAAGAAAAAAGGCAAAAGGGGAAAAAAGTCCAGCAAAGAAAAAAGTGTAGCAAAGAAAACAAAATTCGTGCAGGGAATAAAAAGAAAAATGCTTTTTACTGTTCAAAATATGTGCCTGAAGGAAAAAAGAAAAATAAATATATATATATTATGAGGGGAGACAAAACATGACCGAGGGTTATGTACAAGATGTGCTGCGTGATATTCGGCATAATTTTTCGAGTTAATATAGCTATAAAATGCGATAATTTGACATATCGTGACTTTCTATCGTGTTGTTAACTCTGGGGGGAGCCCCCCAGGGTTGGAGGGGGGTTCAATAATTAAGTTTTGTGGTTCCTACTCGCCAGTAAGGCTTTCTAGCAGGTCCTGCCTTAGATAAGGGATACTTAGATAGCATAGGAATTTGTATTTGTGGGAGTCGAAGATTTACCCAAGACTTGCGAGAAACCTCGAACCTCCGGTTTCCATCTAGCGGTGGGGTTGCGAACTTCGGTCGCTATAACTCCATATTGTTTATACGATGCACCGCCAAGAATACGCGAGGAAAATTGCGATAATATCGTTCACACGATTCCTGTGTTTTGTTTTCAGAGGAGGTCGTTCACAGCACCCGTTTGATCGAAGCGGACACGTTCCAAGAATGGCCGACGCTGGACTCGAACCCTTACTTTGACACTGTGGTTCCGTCGAACGTGACAGGTCTCGTTGGGAAGACCATTCAACTCGTCTGTAAAGTGAAAAATTTGGGAAACAGAACCGTAAGTACTCTCATTATCCACTTATAAATGTAGAGTTTCGTCTATTATATGAAATTTTGACCAGTAGTAAAAGAATATGATGACTCACTGGAGTGGTTAGGTTAGGTTAGGTTAGGTCAGGTCAGGTCAGGTCAAACTTCAAAAGCGTTTCAGTAGTGTATACACCATCGTATTGTCGTGAAAAGTCTTATTTAAACAGATTTTTACGATACGTGTACACTCTTCTCGTTGCGTTTAGAGATATTAACTTCCTTATAATTTTCAGAAAATAGTTTGAATATGTGACACGTATGCTTCCTGTAATCGATGTGTAAGGGTGATAAAATTTCGCGAGTTGTTAAAGCAAGATACGGAAGGTACGGAATATCAGGGTTTGTTAATACGCGAAAAGTCCAAATCAGCATCAAAGGCGCGTATGTTTGTGAGTCTGACAGCACGCGTAACGGAACGTTTCAAACGCAAGAACCGATTCCCGAAATCGGCATGTATGTCCAGGCGGTCAATAAACGAGATGTCAAACATCACGCGTGCCGGGTCAACTGATTTGTTTGCGTGACACGCGTACAGTCCCAAGAGTAGCATGAAATCGGCTAAAACGTCAACATTTCCGTGATAGTTGACGAATGGAACGGTCCATAGCGTCGAATTAATCCGCGAATCACGAAGTCGCGGAGGCCTCGTTAAACGCGTTTCTAACTAGCTGTTTGCAATTCCGTTTGTCGACGAATTGTTGCCACAGTGGGGTAGGGAAGAATGTTAGGTTTCTGGTGAATTAACCACGTCGAAGTGCCGTTATTCCAGTTATGCAATTATCAGGCAAACTTTTAGTTCGTGTTACTACAAGCTGTATTAGCCGGATGATCTTGGTTGAGTCTTGGCTTTGGCTTACATATTTGAACTTTTGGGAGGATGAAATGCGTTGGCCTAGGTAATTCGGGTTGGTAGGTACTTTGAAGTTAATTAGTGCTCTGTTGCTTACACAAATGTATTATGAGAAATAAATATTAGAATAGAAAATTAGGATATAAAATTAGGCATAGATTGTGCGTTCCTAGGAGGTATATATATTTTGTTCAGTCTGCCTAACTCCATCTTTGACGATCACAAAGTCTTTTAACAGAAGAACAACCCCTCTCGTATGTGTGTGTATGTGTGCCTTTGTTAACGGTAATGTCACCTCATGACGTGAAAAATAATATTTTTATCACTCGAAAAGTTTCCTTGTTTCGTAGGGACGTATTCGTTCCTCTTATCTGTCCACCAAGAAATTGGATCTCTCCAAAATACCAAAATAGTGGCTGGCAGATAACAGGAAGGACCGGGGTGCTACGTCTACGCCAATGCTTTATCGCTTTATCCCATTCGGTCTCGATATATATATCCTGTTCGTTCTTGCCGTCGTAGAATGCTATATGATTCTTTTTGTAGTTGTGACATTTCTAGTCGGTAATGAAAATTCGTATACTTCATCTTTATGATACGATTTGGCAAGGTTGTAAATTAAACTCTCGAGAACTGGCGTCGATTGATGTGGCATCTCAGGACTATATATTCTGCTTCATGGTTTCAACAATAAATAAATGATGGAATATAAATTTTTTCTTTCGTACTTCATATATAAGATATATTGACCCTGGGCGAATATTGTCGTCGTACGGTCCTGACCATGGTTCGAGCTTCTATCCTCTTCTATTTCTGTCAGCTCGCTTGTTCCTGCTACCGAAACATATTTAGTTTGACGGCTGACGCAATTTACGACCAAGCTACGTCATGGCTTCACTCTTGTAGAGAGAGATAGCCTATTAGTCTCTGCGACCAATCAGACTCACATTCTTTCCCACTTCCGACCAATCAGCAACGCACGGTATCCGTCTTCTAGAAACTACCGCTCGACAAAACGCAGCAGTGTCTTCCTTGTAAATGGACGGTACACATTTCTTTCGAGGAAATCCATTCCACGAAATTGATTAAGAAGATAATCCTCAAGTGTCGAGTCGACTGTTGAATCTCCAGCTTAGAATGATTAATCGAGGTACGTCTCACGATTTAAAGGATTACGAAGCCTTCCGCGACTGATTAATTATATTAAACTGAAAAAGAAAACGGCGACCACGCCCAAACTGGATACAAGCAGTGTGTTACATTTTTAATCTAGAATCTCATCTCTATGCAAAGCGTGTGCCCATACGCAAGACTAGCTACGTGTGTACCGGCTAATACGTATCGTTGATATCGTATATACGTTTATGTTCGTGCTTAGAGCGTTGTTACAGTGAGAGTGAAATTGAGGTTACTTGACAGGACGAAATTACTCGGAGAAACCGATCTCGTTAAAAGGTGATATTCCCGCGAGCAAAGTTTATTTGTTGACGTATCGCTTTTTGTCGAATTTCAAAATTGTGTTTGCTTGAAAAATTGGTCCCGTCCGTCGGTTACGATGCGACAGACCTTTCACGCGTGACGCCTCGAAAGCAGGTGCAAACACTTTGGCAAATTGTAAAATTAATCCGAGGCGGGAAGTGTCGTACAGCGGCCCGCCATATTTGTTTGAGATCACGTGTCGATGTTTGTTGTAGGCAGAATGTAGAGTTTATTTTATTGAACTGACAAAATGCGTGTTCATAGTGGATTAAATACTCTCTTATATTTATTTTGATGGTGTTCCTGTTGCCATAAACTAATTGCTGAATGCATTTAATACGTGTAATATTTATTCATGTAGAAGTGAATTTAGGTTAAAGAATTTGAAGGATTCGACTATGTGAAAGGGTTAAATTACCACAGTGCCTCTCAATTTCGTTAATGAACATTAATTGGTAATTACTGATTGGTAATCAAAATTGAAGCTAATGGAGTATCTTCTAAAATATTTTGCACAATTTATTTATATGAACATAACAGGTTTGAAAATATTTTATATAATTTTTCGGATACGGAAACAAGATGGCGTTCGAATGCAATTTAAGTTTCATAAAGATGGTTATGGATAGTCACTAGAAAATTCATGTATTTACATTATAGTAGCTTAAAGCTACATAACAGTATTCCTAATAAAATATGTATGAGTTCAGCGTGTCTTTTGTGCTGCCACTACTCGGTGCTGGTTGCCAGCCGATTTCCTATTCTGCAACTCACATGAATTATACGTTCTTCGTCGAGTATCCTCATGTTTAACAACGTGATATTCTTTTTTCCAATTTTATTTGTTTATCTGTCTCCACAAATATTTCATAATATTACACGATGCATATACTTAATATTTCATTACTCTATTGAAAATATTTGTAATAGAAATCCAGAAAAATTACCTTAATTTTCCTTTATATCATTTGCACTTATTTAGCTGCTTCAGCGGTGATTCAATTGATCAGAGCAATCTTGCAAGTCCACTTTTGAAATTTTACTCGATTCAAAAAAATTTATTCTTCTCGATTTGGTTCTGCAACAGTTGTAGTAGCATTGCTGGGACACCCTGTGTATAATGTGTATATGTGCAATATATATATGCCAAAAAATGAAATTATAACAAATAAACTAATATATTTTGCATATATCCACATATTATACCCGCATAGAGATCCTCTGTCTAATAAATGTCGAAACGATCGGTATCGTTTGTGCATCGAATATTACATGCATAGATGGGAAATAGGTCGAATGTAATGAATGCACGACGATCTCAATTTTCCGAAATCGCATGCGGATCGCGTAGAGAGATGATTGTCTGACCGCAGATCGAATGGTCAGACATAACCCGTTAAATTATCGTGGCAAAAACGATCGAAGTCGGTATTTAAACGATGAGATGGTCGTTGTAGGGTCTACCCTCTATTGGAAAGGGGAATAATTCGAGTTTTGATTGTTATGACGTCTCTGGTTCATCGACTAGATTTCGTTCTAATTAACGGTCTGGAGAAGTTCGCCATATCAGCCGAACTTGCCTTATGTCGTTTTGCACGATCCTCGTTCAAACTTTGTCGATTTGCTTATCCTCCATCTGAATGGGAATCATGTTTCGATCTGTTCCCTGTGTGGTCTACTGTTATTGTAAGCAATTATCATTATCGTATGGTAACGATTGTTTGATTCGCGAAACCAGATATAACGCGACGTCTGTATTTCGTAGGTAGGAATCCTAACGTAATCTAATCATTTCGTTATGGAAATAACTATTGTTGACTGTTATGTACAGTTTCTTTCCAAAATAATTATGAAAAAATGAAAACAGTTTCGAAGAGGAAGATCTGTAGTTATTATATTACTTTTGGATTATGTTGAAAGAGTTGAGGAACTTATGTTGATCACACATTTTCTATTCCTTTGAGTAAGTTCTATGAGCCGTCCAAGTCCCGAATTAATACTTTTTAAACGCCCTATATGCGTGTCAGTGATTATGAAAGTGGTATAAGTCATAAATATTACGCTGTAATTAGAAACTTCATTAAAGGATTCTATTTTTTATTATATATTCTGTAAAAGTAATTTTACTTTAATCTAAAAATAACGAAGATTTGATTTCTTTTATAATTTTGGTTTAAACCAGTTTCACAGTTACCGTCACACATTCATATATAGTTATATACTAAATCCTAGACTAGGTATATTCATTTGTACAATGATACTTCACACACCGACCACCAGGTAGCGACACAGTAGCTCAGAGTGGGGGAATCGACAGACTAATGGCGGACGCAGTGTAGCCACAGTGGAGATATTTGCTAGATCCCTAGTTCATGGTTAGAGAGGAAAAATATTAATGACGTTACGTAATTTCAATAAACTTTCTTCAAAATATTCCTCAGAAGCGTTCGAAAATCCCAGTTCGCGTCGCTTTGTTAAATACTACATCCGATATAAATTTATCTTGTCCATAAAACAATCAATAAACGCAGATACACGTGCGCGGACCGTTTACTAGAGTTTTTATGGCGCGATTAATTCGTAAGTCACGCGACGGGAGCCGGACGTTAACGCTGTAGCCTGCCGCTGATAGAAAATAAAACGATTTAGTAAACAATGGTCCGAACCTATAAAGAGCGAACGACGTATAAGCTTAACGGCGCTGGGCTGGAAAATAACGGTATAATAGCGCGAACGGACGTCTGTGTGGGGGAAGGGGCGGAGTAAAAGTTGTCGGATCCAATGTCATAAGGAAGGGAGTGTGACCGGTAATAAGCTGATGTCGAAGGATGTCGAGCGAAACATAATGTAACGTGCTTCGCATCCCGCGTTATCTTCGGGTACGACTTTTTAACGATAGCACTGTCTCGCTCGTAAAGCTTTGGGAAGCTTCTTCCAAACAAATTCGAGTAAGCTGCGCGCCAGTAAAAAAACTTTTTTACACGATATTGTCGCCGAAGATGATTTTACTCCTCGCAATCGTAAAGATCAAACGAATTACTCTTTTTATTATCTTTCCTCCTGCAATTTTTACTAAATTTTTACTATATTTTTTTGGCGTATTGTCGGAGAGCACGGGGTGAAATTCGGCTCGTTCGATATACCAAAGCATGTAAAAAATGGAGAAGAGAAATGTAAAGGAAATGTATTTTTTGTCTTGAAAAACCAAGTACACGTTTCCCGGTTTGCTTTCGCCCATACGTGGACAATATTTACGATGTTCTACGGTCAATGAATAACACGTAAATATGCAGGCCAACTTGTGTTGGGCGCGACTCGTTCCGCGTCTAATCATTTTTGTATGGTAGGGAGCCGATTAATCCCCAGAGCGCACCCTTGTCGCGCATATGGCCGCTCCGGTTCGGAGTTAGGTTAGTTTAACCGTTCGACCGCTGCGTCACGGCAGAAATCTAATCGGAGATTCCAGGGCATTGCGTTCGCTTTGTATTTCTGTTCGTAACTGTTTCTACAGTTTCGTTGAACGATTGGCGACGAATATTTTTTCATTTACGAGATTCCAACAGTATCATCTTTATTAGAAATGTCAAAAATAAGCAAGAAAATTTATAAAGAAAATGGGCATTATAATAGGAAGGAAGTAGGAACGCTCACTGGTTGAATGAGCGTCGCGCCATATTTTAAATTGTATCACTGAAGTTACTGAAATATACTATAGCTTCCTTTACTAGTGATATAGAGTTTCTAAGTATAATCAGATCGGTTAATTGCATTTCTCAGGGTTAATTCAGCAGTAAATAACAATCTTTTATTTATTTATTTTTTAATAAAAAATAAAACGCAGTTTAACTTACACCAAGTATCATAACCTTACACATAAAATCTATATTTCATAAAATTAATATCAAGTTGATCAGACTGATATTAATTTAATTTAAATTTTATAAAATTTATATCTTCTTGAAATTCTAGAAAAATTTTAAGCTACGCCGCTGCTTATTCAGAATTGTTTCTCTGCTTGCAGGTATCATGGGTAAGGCATCGAGATATCCACTTGCTGACAGTGGGTCGTTACACTTACACGAGCGACCAGCGTTTCGAGGCTATGCACACGCCGCACACGAAGGAGTGGACGCTGACGATACGGTACCCTCAGAAGAAGGACTCCGGTATTTACGAATGCCAAATATCCACCACTCCACCTATCGGATACTCCGTGTACCTCACCGTGGTTGGTAAGTTGTCTAACCTCACTTTCTTTCCTTATTTGAATTATCAACGCGAATCGTTGCAACCTATGGGGTAAGGAGTGGGGGGCGTTGGAACGGCGCTAGGTGTCGCTGGCGAAATTACCACGCGGATATCGTGGTTTAAGGGCAGACTTATCGCCCGGGACTTTATAACCAAACAGATATGGCGGCAGTGACGCGCGTATCGGCGGTTTAATCGCACACGCGACGACGGGCCACATGAAAGGAAACCGCGTTATTATTCTAGCAACGTAATTACACGAACCGGTAGAAGTGTGTATCGAGCGACGCTGTAAAGGACCGGAATCTCCCAGCGACATAAACACCGCGATGACAATACGGGAATAACCTAGAGTATATGCTTTCACGACATCCGTTCCAACCATCTATTGTTCTCGGGAAATTTTTCAAGCAAGTACCAGATGTCGTTATCTCGTGGCCATCGTTATCCGAGAGTTTTACGACTAGACGTTTCATTTTTATAAAGTAGACTGCGCGAAAAACGCCACTTCTATGGATCGACTAATGGCTGCCGTTGGTCGGGACACCGATATCCGCCAATGAGTACATAGAATATGTAAACTGTCTCGATAAATTGTCTTAACACGTTGAATGCCGTGTTAATTTTACAGGGACTGCGTCAGGAATGAAGGAATAGAATTATTTGTAGTTATTTTTATATAGTTATTGTCTCTTATTCGTTATTTACGTTACAGCATTAACCCCTTGCACTATGATTTAATCATGAGAAATCGATCATTGTAAAATCTCTCAATTTTAATTAGCCACTGTGTGCCCATCTTATGCAAAATAAAATTGCACAATTTGTTAGGATTTGCACAAATTTTGCGCATCTTAAAATACGTTCAATATAATTTCAGTCTAATGCCAGTGTAATTCATCTTTATGGGGTTTAGCGTGAAATATTCATGAGTTGGACTCGTTATTATAGTATAAGGGGTTAAAATAAATGGCGACTGAGCGGCGTCTCTCGAGTGCAAAGGGTTAATAAAGTCAGGCATTTTTTCCTCTCGAATTTCGTCGAAGAAAGTTTGTATAATTTTTCGAATAAAATTTCGATGTTTTCCTCGAAGACGGGCAATTTATCGTCAGAAACGAGCCTCTTTCGTTAATTCGGATAATACACTGGGACTGCAATCTGCCAAGCTTTCAGGAATCTCACGCGATAAACATTTGGGTCAAGATATAATTTCGAATAACTATATTGGGTCACGTAGCAATCGTGTTTGGGCTAAACGCGTCCAAAAAAGCTGCTCGTCCTTAAGAAACAGCCAACTCGAGATTCGTATGCATCTCAGCTTCGCAGACTTGGTCGTGGCCATGTACTTTTAAAAATAACGTAAACCCCTAAACGCTAGCCAGCTGACGATAAATTAAACGTGGAAGAGTTAAAGAGCGTTGGAAAGAGATAGAGGACGAAAAAGCAGCGAGAAAGCTGCGTTCGATGGACCGTGGGATAGCACGAGAAGGGAAGAGAGGAATATCACTGAAAGCTGAGTAAGATTCCGACGATTTCTCTTCTTTCGTTCCTTTCCAGGAGCAATAGCTTCATTAGCTTGTGCGATAATTGGCTCGGTTCGTGACTCGCGTTCGCAAAACACTGTCCGATCCTTGACGTCGTTATCCTTCGAAGTCTAATCCTCGAAGAGCCTCCCAGCCACTTCCTCGACCCCAGGCCGAGAGACTCGTAAGTCCTGAGTATCAGGGTTCGTGTAACACTCGGAAGAATCACTTGCTTCCTCCTATCCTCGGGATTTCAACGTTACTAACCCAGGTCCGATAATAGCCCGTGACGTTGATCGATCGACAACCCTCGGGAATCGAACCGAATATACCGATGATCCCGGAACACAGTGGAATCTGGTAGGAAGCAGAAAGAAAATGATAATGTTACTGATCCGATACCCTGGAATTTAAGTGCTCCTCTGTCTGCTGTGGTTACCTCTGCTGCGATTGGGAACCTCCGATCCTACAGGGTATCCTGACGAAATCAAATTCTGGAAAATAAGGTTGCTAAATCTCTCTTCGTAATTCCTTTTCTCTTAACTTAACACTAAACCTACTAGCCCTAAGTGATCACTTTTACATTTTAAATTAAAAATTTTCATTCAACGTTGTCGCTTTGGTCACCTGTCTTTGCAATTTTTCTTTTAATATAATCGATTTTTCAATATCTCCTCGCGTTTCATTTTCCTGTAATCTTTTTTGTTTTATTTCTTCGTTTACCAATCATTTGATCGGTCATGGTAGGGTTAGTGTTAATTAATTTAGCTTTCATCGCGATAGGATTAGGTAGGTTAGGTTTGTCAGCAGTGCCTCAATGGTACTGAGCAAACTGAGGCCGAGCGATGGTTATATATATATGAAAAAGTTGTTCAAAATGTTGAATTCTATAACATATTCAAAAATTGTCAAAATCGGTGAGGATCCCCCTTTTCTAAACAATTATCAATATTTGATACGTCTCAGTTCAGTTGGTTGTGTAGGGTAAGATTGCTGGGTACAGTCGGACTCAGAAGTATTTAGTCGCTTGGCTCCCAAGCTTTAGATAAATGGAATACACATATTGGATTCAGATTTTGAAAATAATCCTGCGTTTAGAATGAAATAAAGGTGCCAAGGAAATACAAAATTCGTAAAATATTAAATACGCGGTCTCTCCCACTTTCGTACGTTCGAATAATTTCCTAACCTCCATAAATGATACACGCACATGTTTCACAAGTTCCTCGGTTATTATCGGATTTAAAAAATAACTCCAACTACATATTTGGTTTGTCAAAAATTTTCAACGCAGACATTTTTCCTTTTAACACGCGACTGTATATAAATAAATAAAATTCAACCGTGAGGCGAGGTAACCTAACAGACGAGTAAATTTAGCCGCGCAATTAAAGCAGACTTTTAGAAGTACCGTTGAAAGAGCATTCGGCTCTTTGGGCTGGTCTGTAAAACGAAACGGGATCACAAAGACGTACTACGTACGGATGTCGAAAAGACGGGTAAAACGCGAGGAGACGGAGACGATGCCAGTTCGATTCGGTGTCTCGTGCAAACATACGTGTAAGGATCTCTAGTGGGGCGGTGGTGGGGGTAGGTAGGCGAAGTGAAAGGCTCGCGCGTCTTTAGAAGCTCAAAAGGCGTTCGACAAATTGTTCATTCGTGGCAAATCGACGCCAGTTCTCGGCTCCTTTTGCTACGTCTAATAAAGGAACTAGACTAGAACGAATCGAAAAACAATTGCCGAGCTTTCAGCGGCATTCTTGGCACCCGATACCCGTGAAATTGCCACGACAAATTGAGTCTTTCTGACGGCGACAACGACAACATCGACCTTCCCTCGTGGTATCTGCTTCTTCTAATGCCCGTCTCTTCCTTTCTCGCTCTTTCTCTCTCGCTCTTGCGCATGCGCTGTAACTTTGCCCCGGAATGCAAGCTGGTTGCGTGTAAAAGAAACGACTCTGTCGTCACTCGTTTCGGTGTCTTGACGATATCGTTTGTTTCTCTTCCGCTTACTCCGTGAATTTTTGCCCTTCTATCCCACCGGATTGGAGGTTCTCTACGTAGAATTATGCCGAAAATTCACCGCTTTCAATTTATTCTAACACGAAAATCCGCGCAATTTATTTATAATCCTCATAAGAAATTCCTGTCGGCTTAAGCGGAAAATCAAAAGTATATTTTTGCACGAAGAACCTCCGCCTATTCTCTGCCTCTCTGCAAATTGAATTTGTGGAATCGAGTCAAGACATCATTTGCCCCGACTTTTTCCTCCATTTCACCGTCGGCTTTTAATTCCATAAAACGAACTTCGTTTCCGCTAATGCGGGCCCAAGGGAAAAAGAAGAAGAGAAGATAAAAAGGTATTTATACATTTTTTACCCCAGAGCTTCATTGCAGAAATAAAGTTAATTTCACAAATGTTAAGTTAAAACACGCCCGTTCTACACTGTATTGGGGAACATTTTTTAACCAGCGTTTTATTCCACGTATTTTCTGACTGGAATTTTCTTTTGATTATATGCCTTGCTTTAAGGAGGAATCGTTTCTTGATCCTTTCACGAGTAGGCCTTTCGGCAGTCCCAAGACGGTTTTCCATTTAACTCACTAGCGCCACCGGCTCATATCTGCGATAAACGTTCATCGTCAGCATTTTCTCGTTTTACTGACACAATCTTGGAGTTTTCTTGAAATTTTCTTGAAATTTTCTTCTCACCGCGTATCTCATATCGCTCGCGCAATATTGTTTTCACAAATTTTTATGAATACGACCGTATTGTGAAAGGGTTAATACATCACGAGAGGCACTCGTGGAGCACTCTAGGGAACGTGGCACGGTCTATTGAATACGTTCTCCTTTATTAGGTGTGCTTTCCTCTCCCTTTTTACGAATTTGCTACGGGAGAAGGACCTACGATTGGACGAAACGATTGCCATTTACTTTTACAGCCCCTTCGCACTCATCCCTCGTGTTAGTTTTATCATACGCATCAGGATTACTGCGTCCAAGCCATTTGGAGCCCCAGACAACCGCGGGAAATTATTCACCATAAACGCGTCCGGCACTGTGTTGATTTTAATCCTAACAATATTTCCGGAAATTAATTACATTTTCCTGAGGCAAATTTTCCTCTATTTTCTCAATTTTCCTTCGTTGCAGTTAGGGATATATAATATATAAATAATGTATTTTTCGTGTCAGTATAAGGAATTTATGCCAACGATCATGATGAATGATGTGGAAAATGCAAAATTGGACTCTGTTCGATGCAGGAGCAGGTTTTGTGTGGCTAGAATCGGAAATTTCGTTTCGTGCAAAGTATCAAGTGTGTTCAAGTCCCTGTCTGATTTAATTTTTGCATCGTAAGTAAGTAGTTCTAACTTTGTTTCACACTGACCTCGATATACTCGACTATATTTCTGTTTTGCCGTATCCTAATTCTGCCAGGCAAGCAGAGTAAGTA